TAAAACCTGACTGTGCAGTCAGTCTGAAGCGGGCCCCAAAATCCCCATTTTTCCTTCTCCAAGGGTGCATTAGCTAAAAACCATTAACTTGAGCACGTGAGCCAATGTATAACAGGAACTCAGCTGTATAAACAAAGCCCTCTCCTTTATCAGTCCATGACGCTTAATGGATGGCCTTGTCAGTTCCGAAGTAGAGACAGGATGGCAGAGCTGGGGCTTATCTTATCTAGTGGGTTGTAAATATCCTGACACACTGACACACAGACCTTGCAAGACACCCCCGCGCTCGGGGATGGCGCCAGGAGTTGGTGACCTTCTTACCCCAAGATAAGGAATACAGGAACAGGAACATCCTTTTATGGTCAAGAGTACAGGAACAGGAACATGTGTTTATGGTCATGGATGTCAACTTACGTGTATAAGCTGGCGTGGCTGGATTCCTGGGGAGGGGGCAAGGGGACCAGAAAGGGTATATAAGCTGTGTGTAACCGCTCTTTAAGTGTGCTTGCTGTGAACCGATTCACGCAGTGCCTTCTGCTATCCGGAGAGCAGAATAAACTCTTTCTCTGAACCAACCTTGGTGTCATTTGACTCCTTCCTCCCTGTTCTGGGAGCAACGCTCACCCTACCAATCGGTAAAGTCTAAGAAGGCTACAAGCCCTCTCTGCTGCCTCGGCCCCCTCTTCCCTGCTGAAACATCAGCTTAAAAAAGTTATCTCCATGGTGTGGGACACTGGTGGGCTGCCTGGCCTTGTAAAATGGTCTGCAAGAGAGTAAGCGCCACCCCCAAGTGAGAAGATGGAGGAAGCTTTATAGAACTGAAGAGGCTTCCACTCTCCCCCCCCCTTATTTTAATGGCCCTCGATTGGTTAACGTTCGGTGGGCACACGGGCTACTCAAAAATAAAATAAAAGGCGGGCTTCTGCGGAGTCTGTCACTTCTTTGTAGCCAAAGATTCCATCTCAATTGGGGAAGCCGGCATATGTTCCAGTCGGCTGCAATCTGTCAGATGAGCCCATCTCGTCCTCTGCGCTGTTTTCCTATCACTTGCGATGATGGATGCGCTTTATTTATTTATTTGTTTATCTCCCCCCCACACTCCTCGCCAGCCCTCGTGAAACATTTGGTGAGCGTCTTTGTCGCCTGCCATCTGCGTGGGCGGGGAAAGTGGTCCAGGGATTTTGCAGGGATAATGTCGCCGTTCGAAATCTGAAGGTTAGCTGAGATTTAATCAAACGGAACATTTTTTATTTTTTTATTTTTTAAAAAAATCGTTTTGTCACTTCCTGATATTCTTCACTCAATTTATGAATGGGATTAGGAGGAGGGCCGTGGGCCAGTAAAACGGTCTTTGTGGGCCGTATCCTACCCATGGGCCGCACGTTGCTGACCCCTGTTGTAAACCATTAGGCGGGAGGGAGGGAAGTCCTTAGGCTGTGTTGAGCCAAAGAGATTAAATAAGAGGGTACAATGTTATGCAATTTTATTATGTGTAAAACTAATAAAAATTATTATAAAAAAAATTCTAATGATACTTGACACTAGTTTCAGGGTTTGTCCATTAGTCCTAAAGTCCATTAGTCCCATCAACAACTCCCATCAACCCCGATCATTGGCCATGCCAACTGACGCTGATGGCAGATGTGGTCCAGAATTTCTGGACCCCAAGGCATCTCTCCCAGCCAGCCTGCAGCCAGCCTGCCCAAGATGGATCCCCTTCCTTCTTCTTCCCAGCAACCCTTGCTCAGGACTCTCTTTTCCTGTCACCTCACACCCAGTTACTCTGGCAACCTTCCCAAACCCCAGTCTCTGTTGACACTTCAGGAGCAGAGGGGACAGGGCAGTTCTCTTGCGTTGCCAACGTCCCTCAATGACCCTCTATCATTTCTGAATGGCTTTAGCTTGGCCAGGTCTTTTTGCACAGGCTAACCCAGGAATTCATCCGTAGCTTGTATTCTTCCTTCACATCCCAAATAATCAAATTCCTACCATTTATAATTTTTTGGGTTGGGGGGGTCCCCTCCAAATTTATAACAGTATTTTGCATTTTTTGTAAATTGTCATTTGTGAACCATTCTGAGATCTACATATAAAGTGCACTATACAAATTTAACAAAGAAACTAATAGTAATAGTAATAATTGTTTTTTCCATATCAAAGTTTCTAGCAGAAGGAGCAAAAGAAAAGGGTGAGTGGTTAGATAAAGTCAGATGGGAGGCTCTTTATTGTGGGTGGTGCTGTGGGTTAAACCACAGAGCCTAGGACTTGACAATCAGAAGGTCAGCGGTTGGAATCCCCGCGACCAGGTGAGCTCCCGTTGCTCGGTCCCAGCTCCTGCCAACCTAGCAGTTCGAAAGCACGTCAAAGTGCAAGTAGATAAATAGGTACTGCTCCGGCGGGAAGGTAAACGGCATTTCCGTGCGCTGCTCTGGTTCGCCAGAAGAGGCTTAGTCATGCTGGCCACATGACCCGGAAGCTGTACGCCAGCTCCCTCGGCCAATAAAGTGAGATGAGTGCCACAACCCCAGAGTCGGTCACGACTGGACCTAATGGTCAGGGGTCCCTTTACCTTTATAAGGCAGCTTCCGATTCTCTTATGACTGTTGCAGGAATTTATGTATAGGTTGGGGTGGGGTTGCCCCTCCAGCAGATATCATGCACATGCAGCCCACTACCAAAATCAGCACAATCACTTTTGTGACTTTTGTGATTTGTCCCCACAAAACACTTCATCACAGTTTCTTCCTATCTATTCAAAGGGCCTTTGCTGCACTATACCAAATGTAAGAATTCACTGATCAATGTATCTATGTACTGGCTCACTGGGAAAACTTCAGAAATTCATATAGACATGTGAGCTCAGCTACTCAGCAGCCCCTCTGCCTGAGGGATAATCCCTGGCATCCTGATACCAGACAGGTAGCCATTCCAGAAATAACAAAACCAGATGAAGACAAAAGGGTGTGATTGACTTGGCTGGGAAACAGGGAAATGTAAAGATCTCTTTTGTTACACTTGATGGGTGTTTGGTGGAGGGCAAGGAGAACCATGGGGCAGGGTCCAGGATGCTCAGATTACGGCCACCAGACCTCCCCTTTCATGATGTAACCATGATGTATTAGTGATGTCGTTTGGGGGGGTGTAACATGGGAATTAAAAAGGTAAAGGTACCCCTGCCCGTACGGGCCAGTCGTGTCCGACTCTGGGGTTGCGCGCCCATCTCGCTTAAGAGGCCGGGGGCCAGCACTGTCCGAAGACACTTCCGGGTCACGTGGCCAGCGTGACAAGCTGCATCTGACGAGCCAACGCAGCACACGGAAACGCCGTTTACCTTTCCGCTAGTAAGCGGTCCCTATTTATCTACTTGCACCTGGGGGTGCTTTCGAACTGCTAGGTTGGCAGGCGCTGGGACCGAGCAACGGGAGCGCACCCCGCCGTGGGGATTCGAACCGCCAACCTGACGGCGGTTCTGATTGGCAAGTCCTAGGCACTGAGGTTTAACCCACAGCGCCACCCACGTCCCTAACATGGGGATTAGCAGCTAATAAAAGTTTGGGGGCTCTTTTGTTCGGGGCTTCCATCTTGTTCCACCTTGTGGCAGGTGGGAGTCCTGTCGCGACAGTCTTCAATCAAGACCAAGCCTACTGGCTGCTGTTTTGCTCTGGTATTCCTGGCTGGTGTCCTTGTTTTTTGTCCAAGGGAGCCCTCAGATTTCTCCGTTAACATGACACAACGGAAGTGAGATTTGGAGTAGGGAGTTCCAGTCTCAAATTGCTGAGTTGCTCTGCTGCTACTTTGCATGCCAGCGTTCTTTCTCTCTCTCTCTCAAGGTGGCCCAAATTCAACCTCCAGGATTTATTAAAAGATTGTAAAATGCAAAACGTCATTTGCAAACTTTTAAAAAATAATAATGGTTTGTTGCTGTTTTTTTAATCACTCATTCCTCCCAGCTCAGATTCATAGACCTGGGACATTACTGCTGCAAGACGGGGGGGGGGGGCGGGGGAGAGACAGAGAGAGAAAGTCATTAAAAAAACAAGGCAGCTGACTTTTGCTTACAGCCATACGCTGCCTGGAAAATCAATAAGAATTAAGCTCGATGCATAAAAACATTATTAGAGTTTTATAGGGTTTCTTTATGGGCTGCCTTTTTAATTTACAATGCGAGATTGCCATGTCTATAAAAACAGGGAGAGAAGTTTAATAAAATACGTATTACGAGGAAAGGACTGCGTCAGAAGGAGGGGGGAGTTGTTACCATACCAGGGTCTTTGGCCCCTGAGAACAAAATGACGCAAGGTTAATTGAGGACAAAAGATGAGGGAGCAGACAGGGAAGGTGACAGTGGGTAGTAAAGAGGCAGTCAAAGTCAGCTCCGGATGTCCGGTGTCGGGAGATAGAGAAGTCAGGAAGGAACAGGTTGCTTGCAATGCATCCATCCAGGGACCAAGGAAGAAGAAATGGAAAGGACCAAAAGTCACAGGGATGCTGTAGCCCAGATAGAACAAAAGAACAACCTCCAGAAGTGTGGGAATGTTCAGGGTGGCAGGAGAGGATATATTGTTTATTAATATCCTTCCTAACTTGCACTAGTAAGTTCCTTTACTTAGCAGAGTTACATTCCCCTTTTACATGCACAGCAGATAGCTGGTTGCAGGCTCGTGTGAGCCTCTCACTATTGTACAGTTCAATCTGTCTCTGACTGAATTGTATGCTCCTGGTAGGTTCCCTTGATCCCTCTTAATCCCTTGGGAGAAAATGACAAACCTAAACAGCATCTTAAAAAGCTGATACATCATCTTGCCGACAAAGGTCCGTATAGTCAAAGGTATGGTTTTCCCAGCAGTGATGCATGGAAGTAAGAGCTGGATCACCAAAGAATTGATGCTTTTGAATTCTGGTGCTGGAGGAGACTCTTGAGAGTCCCATGGACTGCAAGAAGATCAAACCTATCCATTCTGAAGGATATCAGCCCTGAGTGCTCACTGGAAGGACAGATCCTGAAGCTGAGGCTCCAATACTTTGGCCACCTCATGAGAAGAGAAGACTCCATGGAAAAGACCCTGATGTTGGGAAAGATGGAGGGCCCAAGGAGAAGGGGACAACAAACGACAAGATGGTTGGCCAGTGTTCTCGAAGCTACCAGCATGAGTTTGACCAAACTGCGGGAGGCCTTTGTCAGCAAGGTGATGTCTCTGCTTCTTAAGATGCTGTCTAGGTTTGTCATTGCTTTTCTCCCAAGGAGCAGGCATCTTTTAATTTCGTGACTGCTGTCACCATCTGCAGTGATCATGGAGCCCAAGAAAGTAAAGTCTCTCACTGCCTCCATTTCTTCCCCTTCTATTTGCCAGGAGGTGATGGGACCAGTGGCCATGATCTTCATTTTTTTGATGTTGAGCTTCAGACCATATTTTGCGCTCTCCTCTTTCACCCTCATTAAAAGGTTCTTTAATTCCTCCTCACTTTCTGCCATCAAGGTTGTGTCATCTGCATATCTGAGGTTGTTGACGTTTCTTCCAGCAATCTTAATTCTGGCTTGGGATTCATCCAGCCCAGCCTTTCGCATGATGAATTCTACATATAAGTTAAATAAACAGGGAGACAATATACAGCCTTGTCGTATTCCATTCCCAGTTTTGAACCAATCGATTGTTCCATATCCAGTTCTAACTGTAGCTTCTTGTCCCACATAGAGATGCAAAATCACTGCCCTGCGTAATGGTCAAGAGACCACCTGCAGGAAGCCCATCACTTCGGATCTTTGCACCATCATCGCTCTGTGGTCCAGCCGCCTACTCAGCAATAAGAAAATAGCTGTGGGGCACCTCTGGAATGTGTGTGTCCCCCCCTTGCTTTTTCATTGTCGCTTATAATTGCACCCCCCTGCAAAACGTTTCCTTGCCCTAGAGGGAAGAAGTTATTACTAGTGCGTGTTCCCTTGAGTCAAGCAACCAAGCACAAGGCTTTTAATAAATGTATACCAGAATAATGTGCTCCCTATTGTAAATAAATTCTGACAGCATAAGGGGGGGGGGCAATATGGGAAGAATTACACCACCACAACCCAAGAAACAAACTTCCCATGAAAAGACTTTGGCCACCTGGGATTGCTCAAAAGCCCTAATCCTGCATCTCTTATCTCCAAGCCCATACAGCCATACATTACCCCCATTTAGGAGATGACGGGAGGGGGGAGGGGGGTAGCAAAATCCTGCAATTAATTGATTCCGCCAATTAACGCCTTATCCAAGCATTCGGATTCTGATTCCTCAGCTAATCAATTTGTTTGATAGAAGGCGCAGTACAGTTTCCAAATGAAAGGGCTTGCTGTTTCATTCCGGTTTGGGCTAATTAGCGAGTTTTTCTTCCCCCAGAAGAGAGAAAGGAGTCTCTCTCCATGTTTTTAATTGCCTTTTGACCTTCTTCGTCAGCTTTGCTGCCTTCAAAGGTTCCTCATCATCACAAGGCAAATTAGAATCCTGTTGACACTCAAGGGAGAAGGAGACCGAGAAAAAACACACCACTTTGTTGGGCCCAGAGGAAACTTTTCTGCATAGCTGCGAATCGTTTGGAGGTCTCACTCATGTGGTCTGCGCAGAACAAAATCCAGTTAGCATGTTTTGGGGAATGGCATCCCAGGTGACCTGCAAGTTATGCACAAGCTGCAAGCTGCAAACTCTGCCTATTAGGACTAGAGAGGCAGGGGTGTTGCAGAGAGAGGGAGACAGTGAAGGGCCATTAGAATATTGTTGTCTTGTTGTTGTTTAGTCGTTTAGTCATGTCCGCCTCTTCCTGACCCCATGGGCCAGAGCACGCCAGGCCCTCCTGTCTTCCACTGCCTCCCGCAGTTTGGTCAAACTCATGCTGGTAGCTTCGAGAACACTGTCCCACCATCTTGTCCTCTGTCGTCCCCGTCTCCTTGTGCCCTCCATCTTTCCCAACATCAGGGTCTTTTCCAGGGAGTCTTCTCTTGTTGTCTATATGATCCCAAAAACTGTTTGAGGCATTTTCTCCTCTCTCATATGTTATGCCCAAATCCCTTCCTTAAAGGGGGAAGGGAGGTTTTTACACCAGGCTTTTTTTTAGATGTTACAGTGAAAATGGGCCTCCCTCTCTGGAATGTCTGGCTTATGCGCGTAGCGATAATAAGCAGGGTTGCACTTCCGGGGTGGCGCCATCGGTAATGGCGGATTCCTTCTGATCCGGAGGGACCAGCTCCACGGAAAACGGGTCTTTCCCGCTACGGTGAAGCGGGGACCCTTTCAAAAATCACAGGCGGATGAAGCCTGTGACCATGGGACTCGGCGGGCACCTTTAGCGCCCCCCCAACCCATAAAGGAACCCACTTACGGGCTCCGGAGCGAAGAGGGGGAAGTGGCGCGCTGCTGAGAGTCAACTGCTTCTTCCGTGGAGCGAAGCCACACAGCCGTTGCTGGAGAGCGCTGCCTTTTTCCTGGGACAATTTGGCTTTTAAAACAATTACCCGTGAGTACTTAAATTTTGGACAATTGGACTTTAAATAATGACCAGTGAGTAGAAAGGAAAATTGGACTAAGAAATTTATCTCAATTTGGCACTGAAACGGGAAGGTCTAAACAGGAAGTCAGCCTTCCGTTTCTTGTAGATAGATTAAAGCAAAGACATGGCAAACTGGAGTTCAGAAAATCACTTGTATAGGATTAACTTTCATCATTAAAAATTGTTGAACCCCCTTCGGAAGCAGGAGAAGAGGGGGGATTTTTTTCGGACTGTTTAAACCTGCAGAAGAGAGTGTAAAGCAAAGTAATTTTCCACCGTCTTGATCCTGGAGCGGGGTGTCAGGACTGACGTTCTTTGAAGCTCATTGACCAGAGACAAATGTTTTTGACAGATAGTTAAAAGAAGAGAAACATAGTGATTCCATTGTTCCCCTTCGCATTTTAAAGGAACAAATATTGACAAAATATCTGAAAAAGGAAACTTTGTTGTTAGATCTGCTTTTAAAAGAAAAGAACAAATAGAAGTTCTTCCCCTAGAGGAGCCTGTGAAACTGTTACCAATTTTGAATCGGGGAGCTTGCAGCTGCAACAGATTACGATCGTGGGAATAGACTTCTGACCTTGCAGAACAATGTATTCAGAAGCTCTGGTGCGTGCTTTCTGCAAAACAAGTGCCCTACTGGAACAGCTATATGAGAAGACGGATGTGATGACTGCTGCGATCAGAAATTTTGGACAGGTAGTGGGAAACTATATAGAGCCCACCCAGGAATCAAATCAGGAGTGTGCTCTGACAGAACAGATGAGGGAAGAGGATGTTGCTGAACCTCGGGCGCCAGAGATGGAGGGAGCTGTGGCCCAGCAGGAACATGAGTTCTTGGATCTGACAAATGAACTTGGAAAAAGCCAGATTTGGAAAGATAAAGTTTGGTTTGGTTTGGAAATGGGGGGTTGGATAGACCCCCCCTATGCAGGGATGTTTGGACTTTTCAAGTCTGGCAATGGGCCGTGAGATGTTTGGGGTTGTGGGGGCTCTTAATTCTGGAGGGACTTTGAAACATGTTTTTAAATACCAAATGGAGTTCAATGTGGACTATGGAAAAGGGGCTGATTTGTCGAGAAGGGTCAAAAACACTGTTAAGTTGGAGTTCCCACGAGTGAAAGGAGCAGGAGACAAAGTAAAGTACAGGTATAAATATGAAGAAGAGCCGCGGAAGGGACATGGAAGAGACTTAAGGGCCTCGGACATAAGATTACCAGGTTAATGCGCTAGATTGATGTGATAGAAAGGACTGACAAAACCCGGGACCAGGAGGAAGAGACGCTGGATGAAGATTGGAAGAAAAAAAAAATTATTAGGATTGTTTTATAAAATTGATGAATGCTAGAAAAATGTTGGAACGAAATTATTTGGCTCTAGTAAAAATGTTTAAAGAATTATGTAAGAATATTATGGTTATGAGAAATTGGTATAAATAAGATCTAAGTTTCAAGTTTTAAGGTCTTTTATAGTAAGATAAGATTAAAATAGATTAAGGTAATGTAATGACAGAATATTATGAAAAATGGAAAGGATTTGCTGTGACAATTAACAACTAGGATACAAAAAAGGGAGGAGTGAGGAGGTCAAAGAAAGAAGGTAATGACAGTTAAGGATTTGAGAATATTGGATTTGTTTTTAAAATGTTTGTGGCTTATTTTTGTCTTTTGATTGTGTTGTGTTATTTTTTGATTTTGATTCTTATCAATTTGTATTGTTGGATTGTGGTTTGTTTTCCTTTTGTTTTCTTTCTTTTTCTTTTTGTTTTTTTGTTTTTTTCTGTAATTCTAAAATTCTTAATAAATATCATTTAAAAAAAAAGAAAGATAATAAGCAAGGTTGAATGGGTATAATTGTAACCCCAGACAAGGGGAGGCAAGGGGAGGCTGAAAAGGAGGAGGCGAACTGAAAAGGAGGAGGGTAACACAAGTGTAAATCACATTTTATGCATGTGAACACGTGTCTATGCATTCTAAGGGGTGTAAAAAGTGGGCGCACCCTGACTGAGGGGTGCAGATCGCAAATTTATTGCTCTGTACCTTTGTCCTGCATATGCATTTCAAATAAATCCTGTTAAATCCTGCAAGGTTGGTTGCCACTTTGTGTGATTGTATATATATATATATATATATATATATATATATATAGTTAAAATAGTTCATCATTAATCCACCTATATTACATATATAGAAGCATACAAACATACATTTCATACAATCCTTAAAAGTGTTCAAACATACTTACACTCAATCCCACAAATAATTCCTTTTCCCATCACCATCCACCACCCCTCACCCCACCTTTGTGTTAGACTTCCAATCTACTCAATTGCAATTTCTTTCCACTTCTATTACTTTCTTTCACACACCTTTAGCCTTATTTCATACTTCTTTTTCTATTACACATTGTTATCCATCTTATTCAGTATTTCAGTGTTTGTAACGGAACTTGTTTATTCTAATAGGAGTTCTGATTTTTCGATATGGTTTTGCAAGTATCTTTTAAACACCTTCCAATCCCTATCTATCTTCTCTTTTGAGATCCTTCCAATTTCTCCCATTGTTTTGGATATATTGTGTGATTCTGTGCTCCAGGGACTCAATAGCAGATATGGAAAATGTCCAACAACAGCACTTTTGCTGCCCGATGAGCATGGAGCAATTTCCCGATATCATACCCTCCAAGTGCCCCTATCTTCTGGGAAAAGTCCCAGAATTATGAAAGCTGTCCCAGCTTCTGCTTTGATCCAGGAATGTTCCCATTTCCCCTGCCAGTGCTACCGCTGCTGAGTTCAGAGAGGAGGAGGAGCCAGTCTTGAGTGATGGCAGTGGCTGCAACGGAGAATCCCGCTGCCTCTCCATGGCTGCTGCTTCCGGCCTCCTCCCTTGTGCAGCTCATATTAGCAGCCCCAGGCGACGCAACAGCTCTGAGGAGCACGCAGGGTCCAGGGCTGCCCTCAGTGCTGGATTTACGTATAAGCTCAACAAGCTGTAGCTTAGGGCCCCACTCTCTTGGGCGCCCCAAAAAATTTTAAAGGGAAAAAAACCTGGATTTACATTTCCAAAATATAAGATAAAAAACAAATAAAATAAAACCTACATCCAGCAACAGTGTAGGCTCCTATGATGTAATTCATGGGCCCTGCCTGCTAGCCTGCTCCCTAAAATATCACTGGTTTGCTCCTTTCTATATATAGGATGGGATGCGGGTGGCGCTGTGGGTTAAACCACAGAGCCTAGGACTTGCCGATCAGAAGGTCGGCGGTTCGAATCCCCACGACGGGGTGAGCTCCCGTTGCTCGGTCCCTGCTCCTGCCCACCTAGCAATTCGAAAGCACGTCAAAATGCAAGTAGATAAATAGGTACCGCTCTGGCGGGAAGGTAAACAGCGTTTCCATGTGCTGCTCTGGTTCGCCAGAAGTGGCTTAGTCATGCTGGCCACATGACCCGGAAGCTGTACACTGGCTCCCTCGGCCAATAAAGCGAGATGAGCGCAGCAACCCCGGAGTCGGTCATGACTGGACCTAATGGTCAGGGGTCCCTTTACCTTTACCTATATACAGGGTGCCTACATTCTGCATGGACTGTTATGTGCAAATGGCTTTAGATACCTATTAGGTCCATCAATGACCATATAGCATATATCCAACACAAAAAACAGCGACAATTTGTTGTTGACAGTGGACAGCTGGACATATAAAGGGCCCCCATTACCATCAGTAGCTGAGGACCTCATCAAACCTAAATCCAGCCCTGGAGGCACAGCATAGTCATCATAGCTAGGAGCCATTGTTAGCCCACGAATTTGTCCAATCCTCTCTTCAAACCATCCAGTTTGGTGGCCATCCCTGTCTCCTGCTCGAGGGAGTTCCACAGTTTAGCTCTGCGCTGAATGAAGAAACACTTTCTTTTATCTGTCCTGAACCTGGCAACGTTCAGCTTCTCTGGATGTCCACAAGTTGTCAGGAGTTCAGCCTACACTCGAGTAGGACCCTGGCAGAGACACATGCCCAACTGACATGTTCCCTCCCTCCTGGTCAATCGTTCGGGAGCTTCATAAGCTTTCTTCAGCCTGAACATCACAGGGACCGATGCCAACCGACACCGGGACACTTAGGGATCCGCAGAGTTTGTGCATCTTGCGGGACAGACCTCAGCAACTCAGCATTTTGGCTAATCTACTTTTTTTTACATATAAACACACACAGAGCACTGCAACATGGCTCCCTCTCTCTCTAGCATCAGACAGCAAAGAGAAAGGACAAAGGACAATAGTCCCACTTCACGGAACACAGTAACGCAAACATCCTGTCTCCGTCACTTCCCACTCTGTGGAGTCAAAACATACACCGACATGTGAAAGGCAATGATCCCATGACTGCAATCATGGAACAGGAATTCTAACAGCGCACAAGTCCTAGTGTCACATAATCAGAGAATTGTAGAATTGTAGAGTTGGAAGGGATCCCAAGAATCATCTAATTAGCCCCCCTTCAATGAACACATGACCCAAATATGCATAGCAATGTAAAACAGAAATAAATAAAAGTAGCCTAAAATAATAAACAGCAGCATTATAAAAGCTCTAGTTATGTCACAAACTCCCAAGAAGAAGGTTGTGAACTATCTGGGGCCAGTTCTTGGAAAGTTTTACTTTTCTGCAGCACAGAACTTGGTTACATTGGAATAAGAGATGGAATGCTTGATTTAAAAAGAGGGGAACTTTCTCCCCAAACAACAATCATTTTTACCCCACCACCACCACAAAAAATGCATAAAATTGGGAGTCATGGATTTGTGATTATTTTTCCGCAAGCTGAAAGAACGCTGCAGCCTCCATTCAGTACAGCTTTTGCATGATCAAGAATTGGAGCGCAGTTCCCTTCCTAGAAGCCTTGGATCCAAAGCTTCTGTCAATTTAAATATTTATTTATTAATACCTCCCCTCGCCTCCCCTGCCTCAAATTCAGCACACGGGGGATTAATTATTCCAATTTAGTTTTGAGTGTGATTTCCCAACTATTTTTAATTAATGATTTGCCTGCCAGGAAGCTTGTACAAACTGGTGCAGGGGGCAAAGGGTGAGAATCGTGTTTTGATTCGAGGCCCCAGTCGGATTGCAACAGAGGGACGCAGAGATGCCACTCGGTCGACATTCCTGGGCTGTCGTCCTAATTAACAAGCTCTGGTTCCGACAGATTTCCCCTTCCCTCCAGAATTAAGGAGCACCGGCAGAGACCAGCTGATTTTTTTTATAAGCTACATTCCCTTATGGACATCCTTCCAGAGATCATGTTCCCAGGATTGGCAAAGCCTGGGGATGGGTGAAGCATCTCATGTTTCTACATCACTTGGGAAGACAGGCAAACTAATACCAGTGGACTGGAAGAAGCAAAGATCACGTGTGGTGAAGCAATGATTCTTCAACATCAACTTCGTTGGACTGGTCGTGTTGTGCGGATGCCTGATGATCGTCTTCCAAAGCAACTACTCTATTCTGAACTTAAAAATGGAAAGTGTAACGCTGGTGGTCAACAAAAGAGGTTTGAAGACTCTCTCAAGGCAAATCTTTAAAAATGTAGTATAAACACCAACAACTGGGAAACACTGGCCTGCGAGCGCTCCAGTTGGAGAACAGCCTTTACCAAAGGTGTCATGGGCTTTGAGACACTCGAACTCAGGACGCAAGGGAGAAACGTGCTAAGAGGAAGGCACGCCTGGCAAATCCACACCGTGATCAACTCTCGCATGGAAATGAATGTCCCCACTGTAGAAGGACGTGTGGATCCAGAATTGGCCTCCACAGTCACTTACGGACTTATTGTTAAAACCGTGTTTATGGAAGGCAATCTTACTTGGCTACAAGGGATCGCCAAAGAAGAAGAAGAAGAAGTTTCTACACAGGTGACATTTCAGTGGCGTAAAAATCAGAGGGTTCTGTGCCTGGGGACACAGTAAAATGACTTGAAGGGGCTACATAAGGACACTTATTTATTTTGCTACATTTCTTTCCTGCCTCTTCTCCTGGCATTCAAGGCGACAGACATAGTTTTCCTCCAGTGAACTTCATTGCTGAATGAGGGTTTGAATCCTGGTCTCTCCCAGGTCCTAGTCTGACACTCTAACCACTGCACCACACTGCCTCTTGCATATGAACACCATGGGAAGCTCTCAAGTGCTGAACGTTCCTTTGTAGTCCCTCCGAGACCCTCCAAGGGATTTCTCTGGTTTTCTTTCAGGGCTGCTGTTGCGGATGTTCCCAAATCAGAGGGCAAAATCCAGACTCTCCCCCCTTTGCCTTGGGCCGCAGGGAGAATCCCAGCTTCACTCCTTGTTATGCATCCTGGATTTTGCCCTAAAGCAAGACGGGCTCCCCAGGGCCGCCTCCATCCCCCCCCCCCCCGCTTCCCCTCTGCATCGTCAGCAGCCTTCACCCTCAGAAGAAGAAGAAAAAAGCTCTCCTAGGTAGGCACACAACTCTCTTCATTATTAAAAAAAGAGCATGCTAAATACAGCATGAAATATTTATGCTGTACGACTTGTATGATAAGAATATTAGATGGCTAGAGATTGCTCTAATTGAAATTGTCTTCAAGTGATGCAAGAGCTCGCTTTTGCCTACCCTCGTTAAAAACTTAAAACAAATAAGAGATGGGGAAGTTGCAGACCGGAATATTCTTTCCATCATCATCTTTTGGCTGTATGTGGTTTTTTTGATGTCTGCAACATGAGGTCTGCAACATGGATCCAATATATCTTTGGCACAGACCGGATTTTGTGGTGGGTTCATTTTTTAAAAATCCCATGTACTATATAGTCATATATAGTAGTGATGTAGTGATGTATGGAAGTGTAGTATAGTATAGTATAGTAGTGGTGTATGGAAGTGAGAGCCAGACCATAAAGAAGGCTGATCGCCAAAGAATTGATGCTTTTGAATTCTGGTGCTGGAGGAGACTCTTGAGAGTCCCATGGACTGCAAGAAGATCAAACCTCTCCATTCTGAAGGAAATCAGCCCTGAGTGCTCACTGGAAGGACAGATCCTGAAGCTGAGGCTCCAGTACTTTGGCCACCTCATGAGAAGAGAAGACTCCCTGGAAAAGACCCTGATGTTGGGAAAGATGGAGGGCACAAGGAGAAGGGGAGGACAGAGGACGAGATGGTTGGACAGTGATCTTGAAGCTACCAACATGAGTTTGACCAAACTGCGGGAGGCAGTGGAAGACAGGAGTGCCTGGCGTGCTCTGGTCCAGGGGGTCACGAAGAGTCGGACACGACTAAACGACAACAACATATAGTCATATAATCCCATCCTACCCTTCCTCTGCTGAGCTTTGGGCAGCGTGCGTGGATGTTGGTTCTAGAACCTCCGCTAAAGAATCCTTGACAGAGGGGAGTCATCTCTGCTCCCAGTGGCAGTGAGTTCCATAGCTTAACTATGCACTGTGTGAAGAATACTTTCTTTTATAACTTTCATTGGATGTCCACAAGTTCCAGTGTTAAGACAGAGTGGGAAGGAAACTTCTCTCTATCCACTTTTCCCATGCCATGCACGATTCTATAACCTTCTATCATGTTGCCTCTTGCTTGCCTTTTCTCTAAATAAAGGAGTCCCAGATGTTGTAGCTTTTCCTCATAGTGGAGTGGCTCCATCTTCCTGGTCACTGTCCATTCCTTCCCTAATGATCCCAATGGATTCAAGTTACAAGAAAGGAGATTCCCTCGAGCTTTTTAAGGTCATGTATGCTTTCTGTTGAGATTCCTACATTGCAGGGGGTTGGACTGTGTTATGTACTGACTTGAATAGGATCCAAAATGCAGCAGTCTGATTGGTCCTAGAACAATAGGATTCAAAATGCAGCAGTCTGATTGGTCCTAAAACAATAGCATTCAGAATGCAGCAGTCTGATTGGTCCTAGAACAATGCAGCAGTATGATTGGTCTGCAGGAGCCACCCAATCCAGCTCCAGATGGAAGTGAATCCACAACCTGATTGGCCTACAGGAGAATCCCGGAATTAGCCAATCACGTGGGGCCCATTGTGTAAATAATGTATATAAAGCAGATACTTTGGGGGAACTTTCATTCCTCCTCACCACTATGAGCTGAATAAAGAGCATGAAATCCACTCTCGACTCCGAGTATATTTCAGACAGGACACCCTAAGGAAAAGCGGGACATTCCAGGATCAAATCAGAAACTGGGATGCTTCTATAAATTCAGGACTGTCCCTGGAAATTAGGGACATGTGGAGGGTCTGGAAGAAGGCTCTCAGTCTGGTTCCCTGTAACTTGGCTTCTCGCAGTGAGGGAACCACCAGAAGGCCCTCAGAGCTGGACCTCTGTGTCCGGGCAGGAGAATGGGGGTGGAGACGCTCCTTCAGGTATACTGGGCTGAGACCATTTAGGGCTTTAATGGTCAGCACAACAGCAACAATTTTTTATTTATACCACGCCCATCCGGCTGGGTTTCAGAGGAATTTCGTAGGAATGCTGCAAACCCACAATCTTATGAGGAGAGTGTAGGCAGCAAATTATTTAATACTTCTTAAGTGCCCCAATCAATAATGTAGGGACTGCGCACAAATGTAATGGCAGTCCCTGCCCAGGATTTTAGCATCTGAAGAAAGAGAAGCAGAAGCGGATGGGAAGAGGGGCGAGAGAAAGGTCACTGGCTTCCCAACAGGATGCTGAAAGTCAGGTGACTTGCAAAGAGCAATAGGGGATGGATTCCATTCAGATTAAGGTGATGATCCTTAATTCACACTTTCCAAGAGAATGTGAGAATGAAGACACAGCCATCCTTCAAAATTCGTGTTTTTCCAATTTTTTTCAGCGCACATGGGTGAGGGGGAGAAGGAATATGCATGTTAGGCAAAATTACATGCAAGTACAGTGGAACCTCGGTTGTTGAACATAATCCATTGTGGGACGCGGGTGGCACTGTGGGTTAAACCACAGAGCCTAGGACTTGCCAATTAGAAGGTCGGCGGTTCAAATCCCCGCAACGGGGTGAGCTCTTGTTGCCCGGTCCCTGCTCCTGCCATCCTAGCAGTTCAAAAGCACGTCAAAGTGCAAGTAGATAAATAGGTACCGCTCCGGCAGGAAGGTAAACAGCGTTTCCGTGCACTGCTCTGGTTCGCCAGAAGCAGCTTAGTCCTGCTGGCCACATGACCCGGAAGCCGTACGCCGGCTCCCTCGGCCAATAAAGCAAGATGAGCGCCGCAACCCCAGAGTTGGTCACGACGGGACCTAATGGTCAGGGGTCCCTTTACCTTTACAGTGGAACCTTGGTTGTTGAACATAATCCATTCCAGAAGACCATCCAACTTCCGAAATGTTCAACAACCAAGGCACAATTGCCGGTTGGCAAAACCCATTGGAAAAATGGAGAAACACGCTTCGGAAGCCATTCAACTTCCGAGGCACGTTTGAAAATGGAAGCATTCACTTCCGGGTTGTCAGCATTCGAAATCAAGATCCCACTGTATTTTGTTGCTGCTGCTGTAACTGTTGCGTGGTGTGCACTGCCTGTTGTTCATAGGAAAGTGTGTTTTGTAGATATTCAAGGAAATCAACAAATACAAACACATATTAGAAATTCACACTGAAGTGCTGATGGTTTTCATAGAACTTGAAAAACTTAAAAGAACTTTCAATGAACTTAAAAAAAAAAAGAGTGCCATGTGGAGAATATAACTTCAGACCAGAAAAATGAGAAATTGAGAGAAACTGAAATTGACAGAGTCATCCATCCATCCTCACTTTAAAACTGAGGGAAAAGTCACTTAGCCATTGGTCACACGGTTCCAGATTTTAAGTGGTTATGCAAATATCTTCAAAAAGCTCAAGTTTCCTATGTGCTGCTCCAGTGTACTTGTGGAACTCCTGTCTGCTTGTGTTTCCCAATTCAGTGGAAGAGTTTGCTCTGCACACATCTCCTCTTTAGTCCCTGGTTGAAAGCCGCCTCTTTGAAATCACCAGGGAAGCCCATGGAGATGGGAGGCCATTACCCTATGTGAGAACAGGATGCTGAATTAGCATAGAATCGTAGAATTGTGGAGTTGAAGGGGACCCCAAAGGTCTTCTAGTCTAACCCTTGCAATGCAGGAATCACAGCTAAATAATCCCAGACAGATGGCCATCCAACCTCTGCTTAAAAACCTCCAAGGAAGGAGAGTCCACCACCTCCCAAGGGAGACCATTCCTCTGTCAGAAGCTCTTAGAAAGTTCTTCCTAATGTTTAGGAGGAACCTACTTTCTTGTAATTTGCATCCATAGGTTCGGATCCTATCCTCTGGAGCAGCAGAAAACAAGCTTGCTCCCTCTTCCATATGGCAGACCTTCAATTCTGTCTTATTCCTCATAAGACTTGCTTTCCAGACCCTTTTATCATCTTGTTCTTCCTCCTCTGCACACTTTCCCAGTTTGTCAACATTCTTCTTAATTGGTGGCACCCAGAACTGGACACAGGACTCCAGGTTAAGGTTACCAGATTTTTTTCAATGAATCTGGGGACACTTTAAATAAAAAAATACATACATAAATACTACATGTTCAGGACGCTGATGCTGCAGCGATGGCGGTGGCAGAGGGGCTGCGGCCGCCTTGACCTCAACCACCATGTTTCCCCTTCCTCTGAGGCTTCTATCTCCTTTCTCCATGAGCCTGGGCAGCCCCTGCGTTGTTGGTTCTTGGGGGGGGGGAGAGCTGGTGCGCGGTGGGTCAGGCATGGAAGTTGGAGAAAGAGGGCCGAGAGCAGCGGTGGTGGCGAGGCTCGGGCAGCGCAATGCCTCCCTTCCCATCGGAGCAGCCCCAATCCCATTCCTACTTGCGTGCAAGCAGGAGGGGGCAGGGATCCCTCAGCTGGGAAGGGAGGCTTCCCTGTTGCCAAACTGAGAGATCCCCCCCCCTCTCCTGCTTGCACGCAAGTAGGAGTTGTGAGGCTGCTCCGATAGGCAGCATGAAGCCTCCCTTCACAGCTGAGTTGCTGGGGTCAGGGAAGGTGGAGGCAGCCCAGAAGCTGCATCTTGGAGCCCCTGCACCACCATCAGATGGGGACTTCCCAGCAGCTCCTGAAGCCAGCCAGAGCCAACTGCTCTGGGCTGCTGAGACTGCCGCTGCTGCATTTCCCGGGGATGTTAGATGAAATCCGGGGACATTCCAGGGCTGGAATTTGTCCGCGGACTTATTTGCAAACCCAGGGACTGTCCCCGGGAAACGGGGACATCTGGTAACCCTACTCCAGGTAAGGCAGAAGAGAGCAGGACTATCCCTTCCCTTGGTCTGGAGGCTTGATGCAGCCTAGAATTGCATTAGAAGTTTTTGCTGCTGCATCACATGGTTGGCTCACGCTAAGCTTGTGGTCTACAAAGCCCCTAATTGGATGAGGACCCTTTGGCTTGATCCAGAAGAAGAGTTTGGATTTGATATCCCGCTTTATCACTCCCCTTCAGGAGTCTCCAAGCGGCTCACATTCTCCTTTCCCTTCCTCCCCCACAACAAACACTCTGTGAGGTGAGTGGGGCTGAGAGACTTCAGAGAAGTGTGACTGGCCCAAGGTCACCCAGCAGCTGCAGGTGGAGGAGCGGAGACGCGAACCCGGTTTCCCAGATTACGAGACTACCGCTCTTAACCACTACACCACACTGGCTCTCTCTGGTTTTTCTTATCTGTGTCCTGGAGCACCTGATCCTGCTAGGAAGGCTAAGAAGAGGGGTGTTCCTCTATTGCCTTCCTAAATGTACAAATTCATTTCAATCTGTGGATGGACTTTGTATGGATTTTCAATCAGGATGCAACAGTTAACTCAAAATTTACGGCCTGCTTCGTAAAACGGCTAAATCAAAGGATTCATAGCTCATTTTATCGGCACAAAGACTCTGCATCAAAAAGAGGAGGGGGGGGGATACAGAAAAACAATATTAGTGCGGCGTAGCATTCATCTCCACTCCGTGTTTAAATATTTAGGTATTGTTTGCTCCGAGGCTTGCTGTAGGATATTGAATCATCTCTTCCACATTAACTTTTATGTAGCAAATATTCCCGAAACACAAAAAGGCGCCTTTCATCTGCCAAAATGAAAAGAGAGAGAGGATATCAATAACTAAGCTGCTTTTCATAAGACATATTAAATCAAGACATACGCTGATAGCATTAATGATTGTGCAGGTTTCCCATTAGAGAAGAATTATAGTAAATATGGCTCTTTGAACAGATGTAAGAATGTGTTTGTCTAGGGCAAAAAGAGAGAGAGAGAGAAAGATCCGGTTCTATTATTTCAGATCTTTAGTCCTCTTTTATGCTAACCACCTTGGTGGTTTGCAGTAAATAACAGAGCACTGGCTCAAGTGTCTGTTGGGTCTGTTGGTAGGAAATCTGGCTTCCAATCCTCAAGCAGCCAGGGACTTTTACTGGCTGGATTGGGGCATGGCGAGGGGTTGGACTAGATGACCCTAGGTCCTGGAGTGGCCTAGCCAGTCTCCAGACCTTAATCCCATTGAAAATCTGTGGAGGGAGCTGAAGGTTCGAGTAGCTACACATCAGCCTCAAAATCTTACTGACTTGGAGAAGATCTGCAAAGAGGAGTGGGACAAGATACCTCCTGAGATGTGTGCAAACCTGGTGGCCACCTACAAGAAACGTCTGACCTCTGTAATTGCCAACAAGGGTTTTGCCACCAAGTACTAAGTCATCTTTTGCAAAGGGATCAAACGCTTATTTAACTCATTATAATGCACATCAATCTCTGACTTTTCTGGGTTTCTGGGGGGTTTTCCTGTTGTTATTCTGTCTCTCACAGCTACAATAAACCTACCATTAAAATTATGGACTGGTCATTTCTTCGTCAGAGGGCAAATGGGCAAATTTAGCAGGGGATCAAATACTTTCCCCCCTCACTGTATGAGAAGGAAAAGAGAGAGAGAGAGAGAGAGAGAGAGAGAGAGAGAGAGAGAGTCCATGAGAAGCCAAATCAGAATGATGGCAATGTTTCCTTCTATCATTCTGAACAGGCAAGCCTTTGCGCTCTGTTTTGGAAGGCAACCAACATACCTCTAATCGCTCAAAGCTGTAGATGTTCTTGAAAAGTTGGGTGTTTTGTAGAGAGGGTCTATGAATCCGAGCTCTAGATTTGGCTCTGCAGAGGAAGAACTATGCAGATCAGCTCAGAGTCTCTCTTCTAAATGCCACCTCCAAGTTCTCTGGGGCAGAGGGATACTTGGCAGGGTGCCCAGTTGTGCGTGGCAACCCACCAGTGGTCCCTGAAATAAAACAGCATCTTTGTGCATCACACGCTCTCCCCTACCATAGCTGTGGATATAACTGTGCCAGACTGTGAATATAAAGGGGTACATACCGTATTTTTCGCTCCATAAGGTGCACCGGACCATAGGGCGCACCTAGTTTTTAGAGGGGGAAATCAAGGGGGAAAAATCTTATTCCCCCCCCCAGCCCCAAAGAGCAGCATACAGGCCACGCACAACCTCTCCCTGCCAGAGGGGTTGCACGCGGCTATGGCACAAGCCAAGACAACGAGCGGGATCCTGAATGGGATAACTGTGCCCCAGAAGGACCAGGTGCGCAGCCTGAGAGTCATTTTGGACTCACAGCTGTCCATGGAGCCACAGGTCAATTCTGTGTCCAGGTCGGCTGTCTACCAGCTCCATCATGTACACAGGATAAGACCCTCTCTGCCCGCAGACTGTCTCGCCAGAGTGGTGCATGCTCTGGTTATCTCCCGCTTGGACTACTGCCATGCACTCTATGTGGGGCTACCTTTGAAGGTGACCCCAAAACTACAACTAATCCAGAATGCGGCAGCTAGACTGGCGACTGGGAGCGGCCGCCGGGACCACATAACACCGGTCCTGAGAGATCTGCATTAGCTCCCAGTACGTTTCCGAGCACAATTCAAAGTGTTGGTGACCTTGAAAGCCCTAAATGGCCTCAGTCCAGTATACCTGAAGGAGCATCTCCACCCCCATCATTCAGCCCAGACAGTGAGGTCCAGCGCCGAGGGCCTTCTGACAGTTCCTTCATTGCGAGAAGTGAGGTTACAGGGAACCAGGCAGAGGGCCTTCTCGGTGGTGGCACCCACTCTGTGGAACGCCCTACCACCAGATGTGAAGGAAATAAGCAGCTATCTTATCTTTAAAAGACATCTGAAGGGAAGCCCTGTTTAGGGAAGTTTTTAATATTTAATGCTGTATTGTTTTTAACACTCGATTGGGAGCCACCCAGAGTGGCTGGGAAAACTCAGCCAGATGGGCGGGGTATAAATAATGAATTATTATTATTATTATTATTATTCCTCAAACAACCTTGTTTGGTCAAGCCATGCCTTCCAGAGACTCCTCCAAGGAAAGGACAGCCTCCTGTCCCTGGATTTTGGAAATGTTGTTAGCCGTGGGTTTCAAAGTCAGTTCCACTCAGTTTCTATATGTAGAAAAAAATGTCATTTTAAGACTTAAAATAGGACATCATTAATTGGCTGAAAAGCAGCATTAATCTGGCAAGTCTAATTCTGTAAATTTAAGGCCTCTATTTCCTCATGGATCATATCTCGCGCAAACCCCAGTCTTCCTTTCTGAAGTTATCTCCTTCCTTCCAACGCCAGAGCCACGAGAAGCATCTTTATTAAACATTTTCATCTCACTTTTGCAAATTGACATCACGGCGTCGTTTCCAACGTTGAAAATAATGAAACAGAAATAACTCCAAGGACAAAATCCATCCGACAAACATGGTTTGCCAATCAGAGCGTGGCCCAAATAGGAAGATTACTAAATGTAGATCAAAGAGGCAATTCTAGAGGAGAATTTGGTCCTTTTACAACGGCCGCACATAATCTTTAATGGCATGTGCATGGATGGGGGGGGGGAACCACACGTAATGTGATTTATTTTCCGGCAGGCAAACCTCCTGTCCATAGCTGCCAGCCCTAGAGCAAGGGGACTGTATTATACCGTGGGCTGAAGAAGGAGGTGTATTGATACCCAGCAGAAAGTATTGATTCGATCTTGCTTAGAAGGCTTGAAGACAAATCTGTTCCAGGATGAAAGGCAAAAGGATGCTTCTCTGTTGGGCATAAACGAAAATATTTCTCAAATCGTTTGAGAATTGTTTATCGCAAAGCGATACATGTCACGGGGGGGGGAGGGGAGGAAATGGAATTAATACCCTGCAAACTTTTTTGTGGAGAGAATTTTAATGACGTTGGAGTCAACTCATTAGATATTCCAGGGCAGCTTGTAGCAAGAAGGCTCCCGTTTCCTACGGAGGAAGTTCCAAGTTCCCTTTCGGCTTTTGATTTTGATTTATGGCCCATCCTATTCTCAGCGGGTTCAAGGTGAGCAGCGATCATGCTCAGTTCAGAACTTTCCAAAGACGTAGCGTAGTGGGGGGTGGGAAGCAAAAATTAAAAATAATGATGCAAAGATTGGATCGGTCTGTACAAGCATCTTGGTTGCTTGGTGACTGCAGGATCAAGTTGTGATTTACAAGGATCAAAAGACCATTGCACTTCAAACAGCAGAGACAGAACCTCTGCTTTGCATCCAAGAGAAATGCTTTTCGTTTCTCTACATGCAGTTGTAGATCACCGAGTGCTGAGCAAACTAAAACATCTGTCATGGATGCTTTCATTTTGATTCCTGCGTTGCAGGGGGTTGGATTAGAAATCAGGCATCCCCAAACTCGGCCCTCCAGCTGTTTTGGGACTACAAATCCCATCATCCCTGACCACTGGTCCTGTAAACTAGGGATGATGGGAGTTGTAATCCCAAAACAGCTGGAAGGCCAAGTTTGGGGGTGCCTGGACTAGATGATCCTTAGGGTCCCTTCCGACTCTACAATCCCAGGATTCTTTGAAGAGGTGGCTTGATGGAAGTTTATGAAATTATGTGCGGCATGGAGAAAGCGGAGAACGTTTTCCTCCCTCTCTTGTAACACTGGAACGCATGGATATCTTCTTCTTCTTCTTCTTCTTCTTCTTCTTCTTCTTCTTCTTCACTATTTTCGCATAACAAATTATTCCAACAAATCATCTTTATTGTATCCCCCCCCCCCATTTTTCCTCTCCCATCTCCCCCACATACCCCCCCTCCCTCCTCCCTACGACTTCCCTCAGTTCCTTTCTGGGGTTTTTTAACACATATGTTCTCTGAATGTTATAAAAAATGTAAAAATCCCTAAATTATCCCTCTATTATATTAACAAATAAATTTCTGTATGTTTATTCAAAACCTGCCAATGAGTCCAATTCATTTTGTTGTTTCTTTAAATACTTTGTAAAAGGTTCCCATTCTTCTTTGAAGTCACAGTTGTCCTAATCACGTAGTTTGTGCGTCAATTTTGCCAGTTCCGCGTAATCCATCAGTTTCTCTTCCCACTGTTCTTTAGTTGGGGTTTCTTCATTCTTCCATCCTTGTGCTATTAAGACTCTTGCCGCCGTTGTCGCGTACATAAATATGTTATTCATTTCCCTTGGCAGGTCTTATCCTACAATCCCTAACAAAAATGCTTCTGGCTTTTTTACAAATGTTAATTTAATTTTTCAACTCATTATATATCATTTCCAAAAAAAAAAAATTAATTTCTCTGCAATCCCACCACATATGGTAAAAAGTCCCTTATTTTTCCTTGGAACGCATGAATATCTAATGAAGCTAAATTTTGGAAGACAGAAGAAAGCTTTTTTTCACGGACGTCCAAATGGAACTCCCTCCCACTGGAGGCTGTGACGTCCTCCAAACTGGATGGCTTTAATAATAATAATAATAATAATAATAGTTTATTATTTATACCCTGCCCATCTGGCTGGGTTTCCCCAGCCACTCTGGGCAGCTTCCAATAAAACACTAAAATACAATAACCTATTAAACATTAAGGGATGCGGGTGGCGCTGTGGGTAAAACATAAGTGCCTAGGACTTGCCGATCGTATGGTCAGCGGTTCGAATCCCCGCGGCGGGGTGAGCTCCTGTCTTTCGGTCCCAGCTCCTGCCCACCTAGCAGTTCGAAAACACCCCTAAGTGCAAGTAGATAAATAGGTACCGCTTTATAGCGGGAAGGTAAACGGCGTTTCTGTGTGCTGCGCTGGTGCTGGCTCACCAGAGCAGCTTCGTCACGCTGGCCACGTGACCCGGACGTGTCTCCGGACAGCGCTGGCCCCCGGCCTCTTAAGTGAGATGGGCGCACAACCCTTGAGTCGGACACGACTGGCCCGTACGGGCAGGGGTACCTTTACCTTTACCTTTATTAAACATTAAAAGCTTCCCTAAACAGGGCTGCCTTCAGATGTCTTCTAAAAGTTTGGTAGTTATTTTTCTCTTTGACATCTGGTGGGAGGGTGTTCCACAGGGCGGGCGCTACTACCGAGAAGGCCCTCTGCCTGCTTCCCTGTAACTTGGCTTCTCGCAGTGAGGGAACCGCCAGAAGGCCCTCAGTGCTGGATCTCAGTGTCCGGGCAGAACGATGGAGGTGGAGACACTCCTTCGGGTATACTGGACCTGAAGAGGAATAGACAAGTTCAAGGAGCAGAGGGCTTTCAGTGGCTACTAGCCATGTTGGCTATGCTCTGCCTCCACAGAGACAGTGATGCTCCTGAATCCCAGTTGCTGGAAACTGCAAGAGGGGAGGATATTATTGTGCTGAGCTTCTGCACGCTGGTTTCTCACAGGCACCTGGTTGGCCATGGTGAGAACAAGGTGTTGGGTGGGCTACCGACCTGATCCAGCAGGACCTTTCCTATGAAATAGGTAGTTTGATATTTCATAGTTTCATAGTGATGTATGGAAGTGAGAGCTGGACCATAAAGAAGGCTGATCGCCAAAGAACTGATGCTTTTAAATTGTGGTGCTGGAGGAGACTCTTGAGAGTCCCATGAACTGCAAGAAGACCAAACCTATCTATTCTGAAGGAAATCAGCCCGGAGCGTGATGGCCTGGGATTTGGACTCGGATGCTGAATCTTAGGGGTCCCAGCCTGCACAGGATTCCCTGCCTCCAGAACCGGCTGAGCCGGGGCTGAGGCTTGAGCCTGAAGGGTCCTCACCTGTGCTGGATCCTCTGGTGCAGGCACCAGCTGAGTCTGCTCTGGCTCCTGAGGTGATGTAGGACCCATTGCCTGCAGGTGCTCCACTCTCAGCCCTGTCAGGGGAGGCTGAGGTTGCCTCTGGGTCTGATAGCCCTCCAGCCTCTCCTGAGCTGCAGAGGCTCAGGGCAGAGAGGCAGAGGGAACTAAGTTCCTACAGGAGGAGAGCTCGCCTCCAGGCCAGGAGAGGTGAGTCACCAGAGGATCGGGGCCGCCCTATGCCTTGGGGGAGATAAAAGCCAGCCAGCCCCAGTCCCAAGTTGTGGGAGCAATATTGTTGGTTGCTAGTTCCTGTCTGAACCCTGTCCTGCTTTTCTGCCAGAGCTCTTGACCCGCCCTGGCTCCCTGCTTGCATGCCTGTTCCTGACTTCACCCGACTCCCTGCCCTGCGCCCAGCTTCAGCTACTACGGACTGCCTCCACATTGCACCTTTGACCATGGACCGGACTTGGACCTCGCCTCTCGGGTAACCCATGGGACCAGTACACTGAGTGCTCACTGGAAGGACAGATCCTGAAGCTGAGGCTCCAATACTTGGGCCACCTCATGAGAAGAGAAGACTCCCTGGGAAAGACCCTGATGCTGGGAAAGATGGAGGGCACAAGGAGGAGGGGAGGACAGAGGACGAGATGGTTGGATAGTGTTGTTGAAGGTACCAGCATGAGTTTGACCAAACTGCGGGAGGCAGTGGAAGACAGGAGTGCCTGGCGTGCTCTGGTCCAGGGGGTCACGAAGAGGCGGACACGACTAAACAACAACAACAAGTTTCATATCAAAATGCTGTAGGGGCCACTCTCCAGCCTCCCCCCCCCATCCCTGTCCCAGGGACCCTTGGGGTGGCAATTCCAAGTCCTTAGTAATGTCACGGTTTCCGCAGCGTGTGAGATGTCGGAGGTTGTGCCGTTGATACGAATCTAAGCGGAAAGGAGGCTAATTGAGATCACATGAATTAAAAGCATTCAAAAAGCAATGCTAAATAATTTAAGAGGCAGGCTCGAGATGCAGAAAATACTGAAGCAGTAAAGCCGAAATGGCATAAAATGAGATTACAATGAGGTTGCAAAACAAAGTACAAAGTTGACATAAACTGTGCTGCGTTCCAGAGTTATGAGCAAAGCATTAAACGCAAAGTAAATGTGGAGAAGAGCAGTAAATGCAAAGTAAATGAATAAACTAAGCACAGCAGACAAATTGCAGCACCGGGAAAGAACTGCAAGAGGGTGCATTGGCGGATGGGAAGTCGCTGATTTCCCCCCACCTGGAGATCTTGAAATATCTGAAGAGCTGTCAGTCTCTGCCTCTCAGCTTGTCCTAAAATGGTTTGTCCATTTGTCTGTTTGTCTAGTATGCATTCGGAGGCCTCTTGAGATAGAATCATAGAATCACAGAATTGTAGAGTTGGAAGGGACCCAAAGGTCATCTAGTTCAACCCCCTGCAAAGCAGGAATCTCAGTTAAAGCATCCATGACGGATGGCCATCCAACTTCTGCTTAAAAACCTCCACGGAAGGAGAATCCACCCCCCCCCAAGGGAGTCTGTTCCACTGTCAAATAGCTCTTACTTTCCAATGTTCAGTCAGAAACTCCTTTCTTGTAACTTGAAGCCATTGGTTCAAGTCCTCCAGATCAGGAGAAAACAGGCTTCCTCCCTCTTCCATGTGAAAACCCTTGAGATATTTGAAGATGACTATCATTCTTCTCCTCCTCCTCCTTCTTCTTTGGCAATCACTCGTAGCTGAGTAATAATAATAATAATAATAATGATACTAATAATAATAATAATAATAATAATAAATATATATATATCCCGCCCTCCCCTGCCGAAGCCGGGCTCAGGACGGCTAACAACAATAAAATAGTACAACATTCTAAAATCATTTATAAAATTAATTCAAATCAAATTGATGGCAACCATTAGGCTAGAGATTCTGTGAAGATTGCCAAAGGAGGGAGTCAGGCTGTGCCCTGACCAAAGGCCTGGTGGAACAGCTCTGTCTTGCAGGCCCTGCGGAAAGATTGTCTTCCATAAACACGGTTTTAACAATGAGTCCATAAGTGACTGTGGAGGCCAATTCTGGATCCACACGTCCTTCCATAGTGGGGACACTGGTTTCCGGGCAGGAGTTGATGACAGTGAGGATTTGCCAAGCGTGCCTTCCTCTTTGCATGTTTCTCCTTTGCGTCCTGAGTTTGAGCATCTTCAAAACCCATGACACCTTTGGTAATGGCTGTTCTCCTCTGAGTCTCCTCTTTTTCAGGCTAAATGTACCCAGATCCTTCAATCGTTCCTCATAAGGTTTGGTTTCCAGACCCTTGATCATCTTGGTTGCCCTCCTCTGCACACCTGCCAGCTTGTCAACTTCTTTCCAAAATTGTGGTTCCAATATTGTCACCAAACTAAGCCCAAATCTTCCCGAGGTGTGGGTGACAGTCTTTGTCAATGTTTGGGTGCCAGATGTCATTTGATTCAAGATAGCAGACCTAAACATGACTTTGAATTGACTTCACTCAATTTTTGGCGTGATGGGTCCAAACACACAAATTGCACCATTTAAAATATGGAATTTAAAAGCAAAAACAAAACAAATCAGGGACCTTGCTTGGTAATCCTCACTACCTTATACTTCTCAATCCATATATTAGGACTGAGCTGACATAATTTCTATTTTTTTCTTTGTGCCAATCTGCACTTAATGGGCAGTCATGAGAAGCTCCTTGAACTCTGAGATTTAAAACACTTGTTGAGTGTATCTTGAAAAAAAACTTCCATCAAACGGCACTTCAACAAATTGCCTGAGGAGTTCAAACAAGCCACACATCCTTGCTGGCGGGACTGGAAAATCGCTGACTGAATTAACTTTGGCTCCTGAGAATTAGAACGCCTGCTAGGAAGGGGGTGGGAGAAGCTTTTAGGATATTTTTAGCCATCCCTTCCCTTGGGGAAGGTGCCTCGGAATCCAAGTATGATTGCCACTCCTTCAGCGGCTAAGAAAGATTTGGTTATAAGCCAAGATGGTACATGGTTCAGTCACAAGTTTTCAGCGTGCAATTCTGTTGAAACTCATTAAAAGTGAACCTCAAGTTTCTATGTCTGTAGCAGAGGTGGAATCTTTGGTGAAGCTGAACATCCATCGAGAAAATTGCATGAGCAATGGATTTGCACATCACCCAATACTTGTATTTCCCTCCTGTGAGACTCAGAGACATGCATTGGGTTTGCATTCAATTTGTATTGTTTTTAATGGCATCCTTCTGTTTCAAGACAAAATGGAGGAGAGCGTCTTTGGGGGTGAAACCAAATTGTCGGAAGGTTATAGCACCTGCAGTGGCTGTCGAGAATGATATGGGAGAGACATGTTTTGTTGCAGCTGGGGCAGATGAAGGCTTCCAGTTGTGCTGCTGCAGGTGCACCGTTGCATTTCTTCTCTGAGTCCTCCTCCCAGCGGTCATTCCTCCTCTGGTCACTGCACAGCCCAACTGTCTCCAGGCACTGCAATGGACTCCCACACTACAAAGATAGCAAAAACAAACATTAAAAAGCAAACATTGATAGAATTGAAACTATCTATATCAAAGGGGACGCGGGTGACGCTGTGGTCTAAACCACTGAGCCTCTTGGACTTGCTGATCAGAAGGCCGACGGTTCATATCCCCACAACAGAGTGAGTCCCCATTGCTCTGTCCCAACTCCTGCCAACCTTGTGGGAATGTTCAGGGTGGCAGGAGAGGATATATTGTTTATTAATATCCTTCCCAACTTGCGCTAGCAAGTCCCTTTTGTTTAGCAGAGTGCATTCCCTTTTTAACGCACAGCGGCTAGCTGGTTGCAGGCTTGTTTAAGCCTCTCACTATCATACAATTCAGTATTGAATTGTATGTTCCTCATGAGTCCCCTTTTATCCCTCTCAAAAGAATAAACACACAACCATCTTATTTAAAGTCAGTAAAAGAAGTTTACTCACATCAGTTCATCAGTTCACAGTTGGATCTCTGAAGGCAGACTTAGTTACAAAATATATACAGAGCATCTCTAGCTAAAAAGCTGTTACTCCTATGATGGAGGAAGAGAGAGAGAGTGCTGTGTGCCTTGTGCTTTTGTTACCTGCACAGGTAAGGTCACGCCCACCTCTAGTCACAGGCAAAGGGAATATGTCCCAGCCCAGGAGGAAACAGGGAGTTCCAACTGACTGGACCAAACATCCCCTTGCATGTCCACTCTAGGAAAACAATGTTGTATTTGACTGCTACTTATATATCACATCCCCCAAACCTAGCAGTTTGAAAGCACACCAGTGCAAGTAGATAAATAGCTATTGCTCCGGTGGGAAGGTAAAAGGCATTTCCATGTGCTCTGACTTCTGTCACTGTGTTCTGTTGCACCAGACGCAAAAACAGCATCGCACCAGCCCTTTCCTTAAAAACAATTGGTTCCGAAAAGCCTTCTGAATAAGCCAGTCTTCACTTGCCAGCAGAAGGACCAGTAGGGAGTCGGTCTCGCTTCTCTAAGAAGGGAGTTCCAGAGTCTGGGAGCAGCCCCTGAGAAGACTGCAATTGTAGCCCACAAAACCTGGGGTCAGTCCCATGCAGAGTGCGGGCCAGCCAGGTCCACATGTCCTGAGGAGAGGGGCTGCCACGGTTCTGCCCAACTTACACTGTCATGCCAAGAACAAGACTCCCAAACCAGGCCTCTCAGACCAGCTCTGCGCAGGTTGTTATGGGCTGCACCATTTTGGCATGGATGGCCAACAGCTTAAGCGAATGGAGGTGAAGGTCCGCTTTTGACCCTCCTGGATCTTCCCATGACTTTTCATTTCATCAGCCAAGGCGTCTGTCTAGACTGCTTCTCTAAAAGGCCTCAGTCCAGTATATCTGAAGGAGCGTCTCCACCCCCATCATTCTACCCAGACACTGAGGTCCAGCGCCGAGGGCCTTCTAGCGGTTCCCTTGCTGCGAGAAGCCAAGTTACAGGGAAGCAGGCAGAGGGCCTTCTTGGTAGTGGCACCCGCCCTGTGGAACGCCCTCCCACCAGATGTCAAAGAGAAAAACAACTACCAGACTTTTAGAAGACATCTGAAGGCAGCCCTATCTAGGGAAGCTTTTAATGTTTAATAGGTTATTGTATTTTAATATTTTGTTGGAAGCCAACCAGAGTGGCTGGGGAAACCCAGCCAGATGGGCGGGATATAAATTATTATTATTATTATTATTATTATTATTATTATTATTATTATTATTTTCTAGAGTGTGAATCAGAGGAAAGGTGTTGCTGTGGCTATTATTGCATCCCCTCTGCCATGGCCATGGGGGTCTCAGTTATATTGCACACAATATTTTTTAACGTTTACATGAAAGCACAAGAAGTCACATGGAAGCTCCATTGGGCTGAGCTTGCATCAGTATGCAGATGACTCTCTGCCTTACCTCTCCTCTCCATCTACTAATCCTGCTAATCCTATGGAGGCTGTGGGAATCCTGAATCAATGTTTGGAGGCAGTTATTTAGCTGTGATTCCTGCACCTTAGGGGGTGGGCTAGATGACCTTGGGGTCCCTCCTGACTCTGCAATTCTGTGGTTCTATGCTTCTATGTATTTGAAGGTTTCAGCTGCAGGGCACCAGGAGCCTGCCCCTGTCTCTTCCCAAATATAAGGTGAAACTTTTCTATCAGGAACTTTCAGGTCCTGTTAGAAGCCTGAAAATGGGGAAAGAGTTTTGGAGATTAACCAAAGAGGACAGTGGAAGAATCACAAGGTGAACTGGAGGGCATTCATTCTAGGGGAGAAAAACTGCCAATAGACTCTGGCAATTCTTTGGCTAAAAAAATAAAAAATAAAAATCCTACTTTGGGACCTGAGAAATCAAAGCTGGCATAAGAACTGCAGGTTACAGACACTGTAGGGGTTTTGTGTGTGTTGAGAAACAAATGGAAACTGCAAAGCAGAAGGGCTTTTTCCCCTTCCGTTCTCCAGAGCAGCACCGCAGACAAAAATAATCCAGTCCGATTGGTGTCTCATTGCCCCAGAGCTGATCAAAAGCCTCTTTAAAGTCAATAGCCTGATTGAGCAGATCACAAAGGTTAGCCCCATAGACAGCCTTTGCAGACTTTAAAGCAGAGATCATAAAGCAAAGCGGCCTTGGGAAAGAGGTGAAGGAAAAGCTCCAGGGGCTGCTACTGCAAGGAGGACTCTTCGCTTTCAGGTCACTGCCTGCCTTCCACATCTGACAAGTCGCTGGCAAAACAAGGGGGGAGAAGGGAGCCCTGGGCCGGCAGATGATGGATGCAGAACAACGCAGATGGGTGGCAGTTGCTTGGCGCCGTGCAGAGAAGCTGCCTGCAGTGTGGATCACTCATACATAATTGCGCTAATTAGCACCTCGATGGGCATCTGTAGCACAAGAGCATTGGCCAAGGACTTAAAGAAAGCATAGGCAACGTGGTGCCCTTCAGAAGTGACAAGACTACCAGGCCACCAGTCTCCGCACATTAGCCACTTCAATATACTCCAACATTTTTCTGATGAAAATGTTGTCGTTTAGTCGTGTCCGACTCTTCGTGACCCCCTGGACCAGAGCACGCCAGGCACTCCTGTCTTCCACTGCCTCCCGCAGTTTGGTCAAACTCATGCTGGTAGCTTCGAGAACACTGTCCCACCATCTCGTCCTCTGTCGTCCCCTTCTCCTTGTGCCCTCCATCTTTCCCAACATCAGGGTCTTTCCCAGGGAGTCTTCTCTTCTCCTGAGGTGGCCCAAGTATTGGAGCCTCAGCTTCAGGATCTGTCCTTCCAGTGAGCACTCAGGGCTGATTTCCTCCAGAATGGAGAGGTTTGATCTTCTTGCAGTCCATGGGACTCTCCAGAGTCTCCTCCAGCACCATGATGAAAATAGGGACATCCTATTCTGTTATTAATGGGACGCGGGTGGTGCTGTGGGTTAAACCACAGAGCCTATGGCTTGCCGATCAGAAGGTGGAGTAGGTGGACCACTGGCCTGATCCAGCAGACTTCTCTTACATTCTTATGGCAGTTGCCAACATCCTTGACCATTGTCCAGGATGTTTTGTGGGGATTGTTTTGTGGGAATGTTCAGGGAGGTAGGAGAGGATAGATTGTTTATTAATATCCTTCCTAACTTGCGCTAGCATGTCCCTTTACTTAGCAGAGTTTTACATTCCCCTTTTAAACACACAGCAGGTAGGTGGTTGCAGGCTTCTTTAAGCCTCTTACTTTTTGGTTCCTGGTAAGTCCCCTTATATCCCTCCTAAAAGAATAAACATGCCACAATCTTGTTTAAAGTATACAAAAGAAGTTTACTCACATCATCAGTTCACAGTTGGATCCCTGAAGTATATACATGTGGAGCTATCCCATATGGGAATAATCCCAGTGTCCTCTGTTGGCTGGAAGCATCTCTAGCTAAAAGCTGCTCCAACGATGGAAGAAGTCAAAAAGAGAGAGTGCTGCATGCCTTGTCCTTTTTGTTACCTGGACAGGTAAGGTCACGTCCATCTCTAGTGACACGCAAAGGAAGTATGTCCCAGCCAGGAGGAAACAGGAAGTTTTCAACTGGCTGGTCCAAACACCCCCTTGCATGTCCACTCTAGGAAAACAAGGAATGTTGTATTTGACTGCTACTTATGTATCACATCCCACATGTCTTCCAGAGTGCAGCCAGTTGGGGAAGGGCTCTACTCCGGTGCCATAGAATGTGGGCAATTTTTCAATGTTCAATGTTTTACTTTGTTTTTATATATGTTGGAATCCGTCCAGTGGCTGGGGCAACCCAGTCAGAGGGATGGGGTAATAATAATGATGATGATGATGGAGTAAGGTAAAGGTAAAGGGACCCCTGACCATTAGGTCCATTCGTGGCCGATTCTGGGGTTGCGGCACTCATCTCGCTTTACTGGCCGAGGGAGCCGGCGTACAGCTTCCGGGTCATGTGGCCAGCATGACTAAGCCGCTTCTGGCGAACCAGAGCAGCGCACGGAAACGCTGTTTACCTTCCCGCAGGAGCAGTGCCTATTCATCTACCTGCACTTTGATGTGCTTTCAAACTGCTAGGTTGGCAGGAGCAGGGACAGAGAAACGGGAGCTCACCCCGTCGCGGGGATTCGAACCGCTGACCTTCTGATCGGCAAGTCCTAGGCTCTGTGGTTTAACCCACAGCGCCACCCTTGTCCCTGTGTTTGTGGTTAAGTAATGATAAAACACAAAAGGTGTGTGTGTGTGTGTGTGTGTGTGAGAGAGAGAGAGAGAGAGAGAGAGAGAGAGAGAGAGAGAATTCTCCACAAATAGTTACTGTGCAGAGTTAAATTGCAGCCAGTCACGGTTTATCGTTTTGCAGTTTAAATCATGCACATGGTATGGCTTTTAAAATGCGCATTGCAAATTATCTTACGATTCCAAACTGATGTGCTTTAACTTTATATATAACCGGAAAGACAATAGAGGCTTACTCTGGCATTCGTGAGCTATAAGTAGAATAAAGCACGCAGGGAAGAATCTGCAACTTCCAGCAGTTCTGGATTTGGGCAGGCAATGCATTCCAGATCTGGCCAGGCTCCAGTTGGGGAAGATGAAGGAATCTGAAAGAATTAACACAATTAATAGGCTCATAAAACCTCTCCTGCCTGGAGGCTGAGAGTTGACAGATCTCAGCAGCCTCTTGCAAAGCTTGACAGGCACCAGAGTTCCTGCATTATTTTAATCTCCCGAAACAGTAGTTTTGAAGTCCTGTAGACAAGGGACTGGAGCATTAAAGAAGCATAAAAGTCTTTTCACATCACATGTGGACATTTATAATACAGCATGGGCTATATTTACGCTGCCTGCTCAGTATTCATAGAATCACAGAATAGCTGAAGGAGACCCTCAAGGGTAATCTAGTCCCTGCAATGAAGGAATCACAGCTCAATCATCACAGACAGATAGCCATCCAAACAACCTCTGCTTTAAAACTTCCAATGAAGGAGAGCCCACCACCTTCTGAGGAAGTCCATTCCATGGCCAGAAAGTTCTTCCTGATGGTCAGTTGTAATCTCCTTTCTTGTCAATGGAATCCATTGGTTTGGGTCCCAGCCTCTGGAGCAGGAGAAAACAGAGTTGCTCCATTTTCCACGTGGCAGACCTTGAGGTATTTGAAGGCAGCTCTCATATCTCTTTTCAGTCTCCTCTTGTCCAAGATAAACTTTCCCAATGCCATCAACTGTTCCTCATCAGGTTTGGTTTCCAGATCCTTGATCATCTTGGTCGCCCTCCTCTGCATGTGTTCCAGCTTGCCAATGCACTTCTTAAGCACTGGTGCCTAGAACTGGACACAGGACTCCAGGTGTTTTTGTACTGGTATCCTTCAGGACATGGGAGAGCTGGTGCTTCTGCAACTAGTTTTGGAACATGAAGGTGATCAATGTTCTCATTCTTCTGTTCCTGTCTTCCCACCTTTTTGCAAACTGCTGTTCTTCATTCTTCAGAGGCTGCCCTCCTATTCCAGAATACACCACCTGCAAATATCTGTCTATGGGGACACACACACACACACACACACACACACATATATATATATATATATATTGGTGCTTTTGAATTATGGTGCTGGAGGAGACTCTTGAGAGTCCCATGGACTGCAAGAAGATCCAACCTCTCCATTCTGAAGGAAATCAGCCCTGAGTGCTCACTGGAAGGACAGATCCTGAAGCTGAGGCTCCAGTACTTTGGCCACCTCATGAGAAGAGGAGACTCCCTGGAAAAGACCCTGATGTTGGGAAAGATGGAGGGCACAAGGAGAAGGGGACGACAGAGGACGAGGTGGTTGGACAGTGATCTCGAAGCTACCAGCATGAGTTTGGCCAAAGTGCAGGAGGCAGTGGAAGACAGGAGTGCCTGGCGTGCTCTGGTCCAGGGGGTCACGAAGAGTCGGACACGACTAAACGACTAAACAACAACATATATATATGAATTGGGAAGAAATAATAATAAGATCACTCACTTTCTGTGACCCTCCCCCCTCCTGTTGGGTCTGAGAATGGAATATGCTGTAATGTTACGGCTGGATTGATGCTCGTGGGAGAATGATGCAAGCTAGGAAATGCATTTGGAGCACATTTCTGTAATGCCTTTATCCCGACATCTTACAGGAAACAGAAGAACAAACAGAGGCAGGGGAAACCAAAGGAGAAAAAATTAAAGGCAAAGAGAAACACAAAACAACTCCGAATGGAGCTTTAACAATGAAACCTGCCAGAAAAAAATGTTCAGCCACTCCTGTAATCTTGGAAAAAATATTAGAGGGAGAGCAAACCCCAGCGGAAGGCGTGTGGCTTCGGAGCAGATTAAAGGAGCTGTCTCCCGCTTGATGGGCACAGTCGCCTGTACCCCAACCAGACATCATTCATTAAAGCAGAAAGTATGTGTTTATTGCATAGCACAGAGGTGTTTAGCAAAGATAACCTTGTTAGCAACAGAGTCCGTCTGGATTGCCAGCGTGACTAACCAAACTGGCAGCCAAAGGAGGGGGCGCGGTGCCCTTCTGGGAATGGGGGAACGGGGGGGAGGTTCGGGACATGCCCTTTTTGAAGCCACGCGTTTGGTCGCTTTCCGAAACGGCTGTGTTAGCAAATTCACGATTTGTCATACAGTCGTTCTGGGTGTGCGACGGCATCTGACAAGCAGATGTCCAAATCTGACAGCTGCCTGGCAGCAGGATTGCAGCAGCAGTCTAGAGCTTGGAAGTAGCTGCCTCACGCTGAGTCAGGCTATTTGTCCACCTGGCTTAGCCCTGTCTAAAGCAGCGATGGGGTAGCTGTCACCCTCCAGATGTTCTTGGGACTCATCAATCATCTTCCCCTGTCCAGACAAGTGTCTGGAAACCAAGCCTTAAGAGGAACGGTTGAAGGAGCTGGGTATGTTTAGCCAGGGGAAGAGGAGGCTGAGAGGAGATATGAGAGCCATCTTCAAATATCCAAGGGGCTGTCACATGGAAGATGGAACAAGCTTGGAGGGGAGGACTCAGACAAATGGAGTCAAATGGCAAGAAAGGAGATTCTGACTCAACATTAGCAACAAATTTCTGACAGTCCTGAATGGGGTAACTGTGCGCCGGAAGGAGCAGGTGCGCAGCCTGGGAGTCATTTTGGACTCACAGCTGTCCATGGAGGCACAGGTCAATTCTGTGTCCAGGGCAGCTGTCTACCAGCTCCATCTGGTACGCAGGCTGAGACCCTCCCTGCCCGCAGACTGTCTTGCCAGAGTGGTGCATGCTCTGGTTATCTCCTGCTTGGATTACTGCAATGCGCTCTACGTGGGGCTAACTTTGAAGGTGACCCGGAAACTGCAGTTAATCCAGAATGAGGCACCTAGATTGGTGACTTGGAGGGGCCGCCGAGCCCATATAACACCGGTCCTGAAAGATCTTCATTGGCTCCCAGTACGTTTCTGAGCACAATTCAAAGTGTTGGTGCTGACCTTGAAAGCCCTAAATGGCCTCGGTCCAGTATACCTGAAGGAGTGTCTCCACCCCCATCATCTAGCCCGGACACTGAGGTCCAGCTCCGAGGGCCTTCTGGCGGGTCCCTCGCTGCAAGAAGTGAGGTTACAGGGAACCAGGCAGAGGGCCTTCTCTGTGGTGGCGCCTGCCCTGTGGAACGCCCTCCCAGCAGATGTCAAGGCAATAAACAACTATTTTACTTTTAAAAGACAACTAAAGGCGGCCCTGTTTAGGGAAGTTTTTAATGTCTGATGCTGTATTGTTTTTAGCATTTTGTTGGAAGCCACCTAGAGTGGCTGGGGAAACCCAGGCAGATGGGTGGGGTATAAATAATAAATTATTATTATTATTATTATTATTATTATTATTATTATTATTTGGTGATCACTCATAGACAAGTAAGATGGCCTTCCATAAACACGGTCTTAACAGTGAGTCTGTAAGTGACTCACGTCCTTCCACAGTGGGGACATTGGTTTCCAGCTGAGAGTTGATCACGGTGAGGGTTTGCCAAGTGCGCCTTTCTCTTAGCACGTTTCTCCCTTTCATTCTGACAGTAAGAGCTGTTCGACAGCGGAGTGGACAATCTCAGAAGGCTGAGTTCCACCTGACCCTCCCTTCCCTCCACAGCACGTGCAGAAACCTCCTTCTTGACTGTTGGTCCCAATCTTGGTCTCATCTGCTCAATCTGTCTTCACATGCAGGGGAAGTCCCTCACTCACCGAGGGTTTGAGACCCATTGGCTACCCTCCTCTGGCTTAGCCGGCCAGTTGAAGCCATTTTCTGGTGTTTGGTATACAAATTTAATTTAACAACAACCACAATTTCATTTAATTGATTCAACAAAACTGAAAAGGATGGTCCAGTTTTTACCAATCTTTTTCCCCAGTTGATCCCAGCTTTTCAGAAGCTGACAGTCATTTACACCCCCAGCGTCCCCTCCCACCCCCTTGCCTCTTAGTGCCCCCCTAGGTAATTCGACCACCTCCAGGGGGCAGAACTGCCCCCTTTGGAAACAACTGGTTGAGAATCTCCCTTAGCTATGAATCCCCCATTGTAAGTGAAGGGGCGCTTTGCGAATTGACATGATGCAGGCCACGAGATCTGAATTTATGCTCAAATTTGAGCCGCTCTGCAGAATTAGAGCTGAGCTAATGCCTCAGTGGATTAAAGTGCCTGTACAAAGATCTCCTTTGCAGAACTTTCGCAGGGGGTTCAGGAGGTGAGCAGCAGAGCTCTGCAGATAGCTTTCTAATTGGAAGGAAAGCGGAGCTGCCAGTGTTGAACACGGAGGCTAAGTCCTAAACTGCTCCACGCTATCTAAACATGCCCCCGCTGTTCCCTTTTATGCTGAGCGGAGAGAGAAGATTCATTCATACGCCGCACATTGCACATTAAATATAAAAAAAGAAAATGAGGAACAATTCATACGGTGAGTGACTGCGGTTCCTTGATTTGACGGAGGGAGTATAACAATCAAGAGAAGCATATTTAATTCACTCGTAGCATAGTCTCTCTTTTTTATTAAAAAAAAAAAGTGTAATGTTCCTTCTGGCGTGTAATTTGCAGAGTGACTGTGATAGATTACGAATATCAAAGCACTGTTTGGAAATAGCTGGAGGTTGTTAGGAAAATTCCTAGGTTCCCTCCCTGGGAGCAGACTGCCAAAAGCCTCTAAGGATAGTGGAGTCAGGTACACAACAGGGAGGCCCAGCAGAGATTTATTAATCATTAAGGCAGCGCTGAATGGTCAGCCACCAGGCTATTGCCACAAGCATGGTCTGACAACAGTACATGCCCTTAGGCTCTTCTTATAATACCCTTCTTCTATAGAGAGCCAGTGTGGTGTAGTGGTTAAGAGCGGTAGTCTCCTAATCTGGGGAACCGGGTTCGCGTCTCCGCTCCTCCACATGCAGCTGCTGGGTGACCTTGGGCCAGTCACACTTCTTTGAAGTCTCTCAGCCCCACTCACCTCACAGAGTGTTTGTTGTGGGGGAGGAAGGGAAAGGAGAATGTTAGCCGCTTTGAGACTCCTTAAAGGGAGTGAAAGGCGGGATATCAAATCCAAACTCTTCTTCTATTGGGTAAATACATGCAGTCCTCATGCCCCTCTCATTTATGCAATGTTATTGGCTAAAGCACTGCATGAGCAGCTTGTGGACTTCCAATTGGATGCTAGGGCTTCCTAATTAGAAGGTCGGTGGTTCAAATCCCCACGACAGGGTGAGCTCCCGTTGCTCGGTCCCTGCTCCTGCCAACCTAGCAGTTGAAAAGCACATCAAAATGCAAGTAGATAAATTGGTACCGCTCTGGCGGGAAGGTAAATGGCATTTCCGTGCGCTGCTCTGGTTCGCCAGAAGCGGCTTAGTCCTGCTGGCCACATGAACCAGAAGCTGTACGCTGGCTCCCTCAGCCAATAAAGCGAGATGAGCACCGCAACCCCAGAGTCATCCGTGACTGAGGTCCAGCTCCGAGGGCCTTCTGGTGGTTCCCTCGCTGCGAGAAGCAAAGTTACAGGGAACCAGGCAGAGGGCCTTCTCGGTAGTAGCGACTGCCCTGTGGAACGCCCTCCCAACAGATGTCAAGAAAATGAGCAACTACCCTACTTTTAAAAGACATATGAAGACAGCCCTGTTTAGGGAAGTTTTTGATGTTAAATGCTGTTTTGTGTTTTTAATATTTGGTTGGGAGCCACCCGGAATAGCTGGGGAGGCCCAGCCAAATGGGTGGGCTATAAATAATAGAGTTATGTTATGTTATGTTATGTTATGTTATGTTATGTTATGTTATGTTATGTTATGTTATGTTGTGTTGTGTTGTGTTGTGTTGTGTTGTGTTGTGTTGTGTTGTGTTGTTGTGTTGTTATGTTATGTTATGTTATGTTATGTTATGTTGTGATGTTATGTTATGTTATGTTATGTTATGTTATGTTGTTATGTTATATTATCCTCTTTTAATGCCATCACTTCATTTTGTGGGAGCGAATTCCACCTAGTACATCGCTTGGAACTTGGGAGGCCTCCCCATTTCATAGCATCATAGAATCACGAAGTTGGAAAGGGTCCCCGAGGGTCATCTAGTCCAACCCCCTGCAATGCAGGAATCTCAACTTGAGCATCCATGGCAGATGGCCATCCAACCTCTGCTTAAAAACTTCCCAGGAAGGAGAGTCCACCACCTCCCCAGGGAGACCCTTACGCCGCGAACAGCTCTTACTGTCAAAAAGTTATTCCAGATGTTTAGTCAGAATCTCCTTTCTTGTAACTTGAAGCCATCAGTTTGTGCCCTTCCTTCCAATGGCTTGCAGGCTTCTCTTCTCGCAAGGTGTACATCTTCAATTGCTTTCTTCCATTTTGGGCCCTGAAATACTTCTTTTTCTGCTCAACTCTGCTCAGGATCTTCTGGAGAACTAGCTGCTAGATTGCATATCCTTTTCAAAAAAATTC